TTAAGTTTTACTGTATCCCACAAAACAGATGCTGACACAGCTTACAAGTGGTGAAAACAAAAAATATCAACAGACTGTGTGTAGCTTCAAATACCTTTTAAAGTAAATTTAATTTAGCTGCATGAGGAATTGCAAAAATTAATAGATGAACATTATAAAAATCTCTCTACTGGTAGAGCAACAAGTGATTATTATAGTACAGGCTCCAAATGTAAAAACATTACTGGTATGAATTTTTAAATTCCAAAAATAAATTAAAATGGGTTCTCTCAACGTTGTGGAGTCACAACTTCAAAGGTCTGATATCTTCTGCACTGCCAAGGCTACATGCAAATGCTTTATCCTATTATAAGACCTGGAATCCCAGATAGCTAATGGGATAAAGCAGGTGTTTCTAGATCTGATGATTCACAAAGTAATGGGCCTTAAAACACCACTGCTTCAGGATTCCTTGTCCTTGACCTCAGATCAGAGTAGATAGTAAGGAAAATCCCAGGGAGAAGGAAATACCTTTGCACAGATATTCAGCATTATTTGTTGAAATATATGCATATATTCAGTATTTTTTCCTTATCTGTAAAACTAAGATCATTTATGGAAGCTACTATGGAAGAATGGAGTCATTGTAATCATATAATCTATTTTTTGTGTTGCATCAGACGTCCCTGAATTAATTATTGTTTGGATCGGGGCACATTCTTTAAAATATAATACTACTCTCCCTAGGCTTTGGGATATACAGATGAAAATTGTTATAGAACAGTTCACTAATATTGTTTTTATCATTTAGGCTATTCAGTGTGAATCTGTATAATGTATACAAAATAGACAATTTAAATTTAATACTGGCTTCTTAACTATCATAGCCTCTGCATTCTACAGTTTAGTATATGTTTTACAGAGGTTCTTCAGTAAAAGAGAGAGCTCTGTATCTGACCTTCAGAGAGAGAAAAATCCCTGAATGGCATCCAGACAGCTTCTAATGAAACTTAGCACATGGGGAAAAGGTTATGCACTTATACAGTCCACAACTTATGGAATGATCCCTCATTTTCATCAGTGGTCAGGATCATTCAGAACAGACTGTTATAAACTACAGAAAGGCAATTAGTAGGACAGAATCATCACCAACTACAGCACTAGAAAGTAAATGACTCTAAGGGATGTGAAGTAAGACATAATAACCATGAATACTAAATGCTTTGTACATTTGAGCATTGCAACAATTTTTACTTTATGCATATACTGAGATCATTCAAGAGCCAAGAGGTCAAGAATCTACTGCAAGCAGACAAAAAAGAACACAAATAAGATTTGTGCATTTTTACATCTGATCTAGGATTTTCCAGTTTCCTAGGATTTTCCAGTCTACTTTCCATGTGCCAAATCAACCTTACAGGTTTGTCTATTAAGTGTATATAGGTTATCACAGGAATCTTTGCTTGCCTATAGTCTTTCTAAGAGAGGACAAGGCTATGGGTAGATAGGCATGTAAGCAAGCCTTCTGCTATTAAAAAAAATAGTTTTTATACTTTACCATGAAAGTAAAAAATGTTTTGTTCTAGACAGATTGGTTTTGGTGACTATATTCATCACTATTCATAAGATCCAAAAGGGAAGAACAACAATTAACAAGAATAATTTTTGTTGTGAAAAAGCTGAACTGCAGCCTTGAGACCAGGCTGAAAGTGGGAGAATCATAGGATTTTATACCAGGAAGGAGAAATTCCAAGGCCTGAGATTTCTGAACTAAGGAAATGTTGAAATGGTCACAACAAATGGTGGTGGAATTCAGAGTAGGAAGAAGCACTGCCTGGCAAAGACTTTTACCTATCCTCTGAGAAGAAAGGCAGCAGTATGATGATTGTGTTTCATGACTTAATACACATTAGTTTGTACTGAAACCTGAAGCCTTTGAAGCTATAGTAAGTATACTGTCCTTTGGCAGTGTTTCTGCTGAAGTCAGAAAAGAAAATAAAAAAGTTTTTCTAACTTTGCTCTTGCCAGAAAAACCCTTGTGTTTTTGACTTTTCCTAACAGAAAGAAGAATTACCTGATCCAAAAGATTTAGAACTGTATGAATTTCGCTTCAGTGACTTTCCTGTTACAGAACATGGCCTGATAACTTGTGGAATACGACTGTTCTTTGAGATAAATGTTGTTGAAAAGTTCAAAGTCCCAGCTGAGGTCTGATTTATTTTGTTTTGTTTGTATTTATTTTAAGATAGAAGAAAAATAGCTGACTGTAGGTACTTTAATATAGAAGTAGGCAATACCAAAATATTTGCCGTATGGATAACAATCTTCCACTCTTAATTAAATATTTGCACATTTGTCATAAATACTTTAATCCTGAAATCACGTGAGCTATAGAAGGAATTAAATCAACATACAGTTACATAAGAACAATTTGCTGTTTCCGTGTTTAATTCAATGAAAAGCAATTGCTTTCATAGAACTTGTACATTATTACAGCAATCTCACAGTATAATCCAGTAATTTTGTAGAAATTCCATAATTTTGTTTCAATTAACAGCACAGTCTTAACCACTTCTGTTCATAATAGGTCCTTACAAGATGGATGTACACAGTCAGGAAGGGTTATCGAGATATCACTTACCATAACTGGCGACATGGATTCAATGTGGGACAAACAATGTTTACTCTGCTGATGGTAATGTTGCTAATATTAACCTTACATTAATTAATATTTAGCTTTCCTTTCAATTCCAACTGGAAAATTCATGAAGGAGAACACTCAGAATTGTCTGTTTTCTTTTACAGACAGGCAAAATAAAGAAATACTATACTGATCTAGAAGCCTTTGCCATGGTTGCTGCTGCTTTCTGCCATGACATTGATCACAGAGGGACCAATAACTTGTATCAAATGAAGTAAGTACAACTGCTTAAATGTATGGAAATGTAGTATTTTTAGTGGCAAATGAAAAAAACATGTCAAAACTTGTGAAAATACAAGGTATATATTCCATATTCAACTGGTATGGAAAAACATTTACCCTACAGAAGATTTCTGCTTCAGAGCATTTGTCATGACAGCTGAAACACAAAGACAAAATGCAAAAGCAGAATTCTTAGAAGGATCTCCTTGAGCTGCAATGATTTTTAAGAGAGACTAACCTCTAGCAATGTTTGGATTGTAGCAGAGTCTCATGAACATGAGGCCACAAAGAAATGAGAAAAGTAAATTCAAATTCCTAACTGGGTTACTTTTTTTTCAAGTCAGAGCATAAGCACTTTTCTGGAGAGGGATTCAGGATGTGAGCTGGAGAACACAGGTTTCTCAGAATGTCATGTGTACCAGAAGATTATAGCCATTATTTTCTGAGTACAGTTTCCCACGAACTGTATCTCCAGAGTGATTCATCCTCCTCCTCTGACCCTGGATACACTCCTCCCAGGAGAGGTATTTCAGCCTGCATGCTAGAGCAGTGACGCGAGGGGATTTTCTGATTATTCTCAGGGATTCTCCAGGTGACATAGGAGAGAGAGAATAACAGATGCTGATTCTTCTACAGCAGACTGCCTCTCATCCAAATAAGTTTAACGGGGGGTTTAAATCTTCCTAGTTCTGTTCTTCTCTAGCTGAAAGCCCTCTACGCAAGGACATATGCAGAAAAGCTATTTATAAAAGTTATCAGGCTTTACAACAACAGTCCTAATCACAAGTCAGAAAATACAGGTATCATGTATCAATCTGCCTTGGGTTATCCAAGGAATGGAGTTATTAGCTGACGGAAGAAAGGAGGAAAATACACTCCCAAACATGCAGAACCACCTGGAGCCTACGTAGATAGGACACTTCTCCCTTCCTCCCACTACCGTAGTCTGATGCAGAATTTCCTCTGCTTGAAGCTTAGCCCAATGTCAGAGGGATGCATTGAGCTCTGTGATAAGACTGAACACACCTGAGCTGTCGGGACTTGCACAGTCCATAAAACAGTGATTTTGAGGGGAGGAGCCCAAGGGCATTAGAATAATTAAACTCCATTATACTGTTATTTTAAATTTAACTTACTTATAGTAAGAATCACAGGGGACTTGACCCATGGCCATTACAGACAGACAACAGTTAAAAAGATGTGCCACAGAATAAATGAAATTTAGATAAAGGCTACTTTTAAAGTACGCAGAAGGTGTGTAGATTAAACAAACAGCAAAACTGAATGTGCAAGACCAATAGAGGCATGTTTTAAAAACAACAGGTTTTGGGTTTGAGGCATCTAACCACGTCTTTGACTTTAGTGGGCACTGAACACCCAGTGCTCTCCAATTGCCATCATTAGTCACAAAAGTGAAGGCAGACAAGTTGGTTGTTTTTTTTTTTTTCTCTGCATCATACCAATAATTACAATACACAGATCAAACTGTTGAACATGCAGATCAGAAGCATTTTAGTCCTAAAAATATGAATCCTGAATAAAAACTATTGTCTCCAAAATACTATAAAGAATTGTTTATTTTTCAACAGGTCAGCTGCTCCACTGGCAAAACTTCACGGCTCTTCCATTTTAGAAAGGCATCACCTAGAGTACAGTAAAACTCTACTGCAAGATGAGGTACGTCTGGATGAACCTTCTGTTCACAGTGATCAATACAGAGGATCCAATTAAGTTATGATGTTCCAAATTTGACCATGTCTCACTCATTCATTCCTCTAGGTCCGGACTAAGAAATTATGCTAAAATTTGGAAGTTTAAGCCAAATCCTTTTTCATTGTCCACTTTTAGAGACACATCAGTAAATCCACCAGAAATAGACTCACTTAAGATAGAAAGGCTTTTCCTCTGGGCCTCGCTCACACTCAGGTTTTTTTCAATTTTCAGGTTGAAACCAAAGCAGAAAATACAATACATACATACAAAATGTAATTAAATTGCTGCCCTTTGTTCATGAGGTCTGAGTTCAGCTGAGGAACAAAGGGATGGAGCTCTTTATGGAGGGCCCCTTACCCGCAGCCCAGACCCCCTCATGCCTTACCTTGCTAAAACACAGAAGACGGTATCATGAGGCTCTGCAGCAGCTCCCATCTTCCAGATCTTCCCTGAATTAGGCTTATGCCCTCAGCTGCCCTTCCCCAGCAGCCACGAAGGTGAGGCTCCCCACCGCAGTCTCTTCAGGCTCAACAAAATGGCAGCAGCACAGCCCATCAGGACCCTCTGCCCCACAGAGTTCTGCTCCTCCAGCGGGGCTCAGTCATCCTTCCCTCGGCACCTGGCTCTGTCCTGGCTACAGACTATTTAGAACTCCTTAATAGATATTTTGTAAGGAAATAAGAGATTTAACAGGCAAGGCTTGAACACATGTGCCACTTCCATCCCACTTGTTCACAGCAACGTGGCAGGCACCCACTTCCACCCTCATTTTTCCTTTTCTAATCCTGTGGTGGTGCTATTTCCTGACTTCATGAGGCCTTACACCAGCCAGTAGCACAACGATCATAAAAAACCCCAGAAGATCTATGATTTAAAAAAATAAACCAACACACCTTTACCTTTATTCATGGCAATGTACTTTTTCAAATGTGAGATGCTGGGGACTGAGCCCTGCTCTTTGCTGGAGCAGCTGTCAGGACCTCTGGAGGCTCTCAACAGCAGCATCGCTGCACCCTGTGCTCTCACAGGTATTGCCCCCTCAGCTAAAGAAAGGAAAACCAGGACACTTAGAAAAATGCTGAGTGTAATGGTCTCATTCCCTTTGCCTGAGGAAAAGGACATTGCACTTACTATGGTAAGTCCCTAATAGGACTGCAGGCAACCGTGCTGACTCAGGTTAATGGGAGGAAAAGGTGTCTACTGTGAAGCTTTAAAAAGTCTACTAAAATCAGGTTTATGGAATATGAACTGTAAAGAAATTATGAACTACCATCTCGTTACTAATTTCATGGAATACAGGTGGTTTTCTTTGGTTTTAATTATATACAGCAACAACAGGACTTGCAACTGTTTGAGTTACTGTGGATTTAGTTATTTATGCAGCCTCTGGGGCACCATCACACAGTTAATTAGCCATTTATTAGCCATGAATAAGGGCCATCTTCACCAACTGAATAATTTCTCATTGATAGCATTATTTTAATGTAGGGACTGTAGTTGGCCAATTTTGTCACACATTCTGTGAGACAACCTGTATAGTACAGATTAAAGATAGTGTTATAAAAGGAATTGAATTTGTAAACCTTCCATCTTTCAGAGTTTAAACATCTTCCAGAACCTAAATAAGCGCCAGTTTGAAACCGTTCTGCACTTATTTGAAGTTGCAATAATAGCAACTGACTTGGCTTTGTATTTCAAGTAAGTACTAAATCCTGTATAAATTCCTACTGAAAAAAATGTCAATCCTATAGAATTTATAACTATACTTTTTAGTTGTTTATATGCAGAGTACAGAGATGTTTATATGGCGAATACAAAGCTATATTTAAAATTGCTTTTAAGTCTAATTCTTGTAAAAAACCATGACAGTCTTAGATTCATGAAAAGCTTTCAAATTAGAGACCACATAGATGTATATAACACTTAAGTATACATTTAGTAGGTGATTCAAATATGCTTTTAAATTACAGCAAACACTGTATTTCAGGAGTGTGGATTCTTTAGCCTGATCGTAAGTTTGCATGCAGTGTGATAATCAACGCACAATTACTCATACTGAATGGGATTATGTTTATGACAGAAATTAAGATGCTGGTTTATAAAAAAAGCTGCAGAAATCAACTGATCGCAATGCTAAATATGCTAAAGCCTCCAAGTATGAAATCATCCATTCTGTTCCTAAGCTACTGACTTAATGTGCTTTTATAATGGGTATTTTCCTTAAAGATATATGTAGCCTTTTGTTTTGGTCCAGATGTCTTATGACTAGGGCAACTTAAAGTCAGGAGACAGGAAACAATTCAGTACGTTGTTCAACAGCAGTTAATAAATTTTAGTGAACAGCAATTCCATTATTTCATTCATTCTAAATGCAAATTAGAAGATTTATTAAGCGATAGTAAGACATGTTTTTATTTTGAATGTTCTCAGTCAGGTCTTAGTGCTTCTTTGGATTTTTGAGGGGAGGGAGTCAAAGAATATTTATTAGTATTTGCTTCTTTCCCCAATTCATTATGTTACAGGAAGTAACACACATGTAATACTAAAGACATCCCAAACAGTTTAATATGAAGTTAGGAAATTGGTTATGTTTCTTTGTCAGGAATTCTGACATAAACCTTTACATGTCACTTGTATATAGCAAAATCTAAATGTGCTAGGTTACCTGAAAAGTTTGAGCAAAATGGGAAGAAGGTGTCACTTCGATACTACAATGACTAGGATGGTTACTTTGGATAAGCATAAATATAAAAAATATGGTTTTCTATTTCATTTGTAATGTAGGAACTTTTGTTCACTAATACGTGGTTTATTGCTATCTTAACAGGAAAAGAACTATGTTTCAAAAGATTGTGGATGCAATTGAAAAAATGGAAACTGAAGAGGAGGCAATTAAATATATATCTATCGACCCAACCAAAAAAGAAGTCATCATGTAGGTGTTTAATATTCTACTCTTTGTTCAATCAGTTATCGAAGACCAGATTTAAAAATAATTTGGGCACCTAAACATGTAAATTAATACTTGGTGTTATTGTCTAATGATGAGCATAACCATGATTTTAAATCAGATGTCTACAATCTTCACAAAATGTACAAAATGCATGTCTTATGTATCTAAAGTCCTTAAAAAAAAGACGGGGTTTTTTGGTGGGTTTTGGGGGGGGGCGGTTGGTTTTTTTTTTTGGTATCCTCATCCTAATTACACTCCTGTTTTGTTTTGTGTTTTCAAAGGGCTATGATGATGACTGGATGTGACCTGTCTGCAATAACCAAGCCTTGGGAAGTACAAAGTAAGGTAGGTACTTCTGAAGACAATACTGCATTTGCTATCTTTTTTACTGCCTATCTGATGCATGATCATTTAAAAAATTTTAAACATCAGTTGATAGGTATTTAAGTATCTGCATGCAACTGCAGGCTCTAGAAAACCTCTATTTTGCTGTCACTGTGAGTGTAAGGGTTCCATGATGCCTCTCCTCAACCACTCTACAGTTGTTCCACCCTTCTCTACTTGCCCTTCAGCTATAACTAGCATCTCTAATTCTGTCAGCTGGTCTAGCTACCCTTAAATATCACTCAGTTATTTTTGTGATATCCAACATTTGCCGCTTTTCAGCAATTTTTAAGGTTCAGATTTAACAATAGTATGATTTGAATTGTGTCTATTCTGTAGATCTTGGTGTCATTGCAAAGTAGCTTAAACACACTAAAAATAAATTCTGTAGTACAGTGTGACACTGTTTTGTATGTAAGTACTTCAAGTACTCCAGTATTTACTGACCATCCTGCTGAAGCTCATCACTCAGCCTTACAGGAGTAAGTTTTAACAATGCATAATTAAAATACAACTGCAAGATGATTGTGGAGTCTTCTAAGTAATACACATTACAGGCTCTAGAAGACTATTACATTGCTGATATTTTCTTGTTTCCGTTCACAATAATCTATTATTACTCAGCATACACCAGCATATAACTTCTGGAAAAAGCCTCAAGTATACCAGAGAGTGTCTAATTTTTTAAAGAAATGCTTGTCTATCTCTACAGGGATTAGAGAGTGGAAATCTCATTTCTGGAGAACTTTTTAAACTACTCAAACATAACGCTAGCAAGAAATAAGTCCTCTCTTTGTGGAAGGGAAGTTAGTAATAGTAGTTAACAGTAAACAGTAATATGCCAGTTCTCAGTTAATCAACATTTTCACATTTTCTGGAAAACCTTGTTCTTTTATTTATTTATTTAAATTTACTGCTTTCTGCTGACACTTCCATTGAATTGTGATTATTCAGGTTGCCCTCATGGTTGCAAACGAATTCTGGGAGCAAGGCGACCTGGAACGAACTGTGCTACAGCAACAACCAATTGTAAGTACTAAATAATTTAACTGTGTTAAGCAATATCAACTTTTATTAAAACATTGGATAGATAATGGTCCATGATGCTTACTAGATCATTACACCAAAAAGCATATCTACATAATCTAAATTACTGCTATTCTGTTCTAGCCTATGATGGACAGAAACAAAGGAGATGAACTACCTAAGCTCCAAGTTGGTTTTATAGATTTTGTGTGTACATTTGTGTACAAGGTAAGAATTTTTTTTTGTTTTCTTTCCCACTGCAGCAGTTCTGATAGCACAATTAGTGAAAAACTGTCACAGTTAAGAAATTCTAGACAGCAGCAGGACTCTTGGTCACAGGGTAAACAACTATCGCAATTGCCATGACTTTTCAATCTTTTGTTACATAGAAGAATTGCTCCCACAAAGCAAATTCAAGAGATGTGAAGTAAATTCATAAAAAGGGAAGATCTCAGTGAAACTTGAGGGTACTGAGATTTTGTTACTAACTTGAAAGACTGAGTTAGAAAGCCCAGCCTGATTCTCCACAGTCCCATTTAATGTAAGTATATAACATGTGAATGGTTACAGAAAGCAGTCAATGGCACAGCAAATAGGAAACTTTCAATATTCTGGAAATAACAGATATTCTGTATCTTCTGTAAGGCATTGAAATGCCAACATTATTAAACCCTGTCTAGCTTTTAATATTATCCCAAAATGTCATGCTGAAAAGTGGTTTGTAATATTTTAACATCTTCAGATACATCCTCATTGGCTTGGAACATACTACAGGATACTAGGCTTTTTTACTGTTGTGAATGAAAGTATTTGACATGGTTATGATTTATAGCAATTTAAGATTTATTAGTGGTATGAGGTAGATCAAAGGTTGAATTTTAGCAGCACCTAATGATTGATTGATTTAAAAATTAAGGTGATTTGGTAAAATATGATTAAAATAGTGACTTAAGATTTGAGAATGACAAGATTCACGTTAACTTACTACAAGGTTTTCTAGATGAAAGTGTGTATATATATATATATATGTATAAACACAAAACATACACACACATAAATAGCACAGAAATATTTGGATATCCAGTGAAATATATAGACATCCACACTCGTGAAGGCAAACATGCGTATTCAAGCACACAGATAAGTAAAGAGGTGGTTGGAAGAGGCTAGTCTCCTGGAGTTTGGAGCAAATACAGTGCACTGGTATTCCTCAAAGGGTGATAATTGAGCCCTGAGAAGTCTGACTTCACCCTGGCCTTTCATTAGCTTTGTGGGCAGATGATCTTCAAACCTTGAGGAGTCTGAGCCTGAGAGACGTACCAACTCAGGGGAGCTGCTGGTCACAGCACACTGTGATTCAGGAGAGCTCAAAGGTTCTCACTCAGAATCCTATTTATAGGGTCCAAGAAAATTGATTTTCATCAGGTACTTTTCCATTTCAGCCCAACTTGTATAACAGAATATTCTGGTATTTTCAACCAGATGTGCAGGCCCAGAACTTGCTAGATCTTGGAGTTGTGGTCTCACCCCCTCTGGGCCACAACCCAGGTACTGATGTATTAGGATGTTAGGAGGTGACTGATTGTTATTACCATTCCCAAGTGGTAAGGGAGGCAGGAACCAGGTGCATTAAGGGTCCACTGCCTTTGTTATTATTGTTCTCAAGTGGTAGGGGAGGGGGCAGGAACCAGGTGTGCTAAGGGAGTGACTTAACACTCTGGTCCACTACCTTTCCCAATTCATCTTAGGTTGCCATGTGGCATGAGGAAATTGCACCAAGCATCCCAGTAGAGGGTGGGAGTTGCACCACTGCAGTTGTATCCTGATAATAATAATCATATGATAAAATATCATGCATCATAGTTATAATTGTATTATGCGAATCAGACTATCATGTGTGGGATGAGGGAAGATACTAAAATGCGTAGTGTAGTTCAGATCTTTCCTAACTGACTATGTGCACAATAGGGCATTATTATCCCAACACATTATTTCCAATAATATGCCACCACTGCATGGCCAAAAGCGTGCTTTCAAATGTACACCAGCAGGTCCTCACACTTTTTAAAATTTTCTCTTCTGCAGAAAACCCACTACCAGAGAAGGAACAAGTGCTTTAAAAAAATGTGATCTTGAATAAAATTAATGAATCTAGCATACATACAGAATTAGATTTAATACAAAAATGAAAGCTAATGTTTCATGTTCAAAGCAGCAGTATTTCCATATATTCAGACTTCACATAACATCCATGTTTACAAATTTCTAATTTATTAATTCAAATTGTTTGTATAGGAATTTTCGAGGTTTCACAAGGAAATTACACCTATGTTTGATGGTCTTAAAAACAACAGGGTTGAGTGGAAAACACGAGCTGATGAATATGAAGAGAAGATAAAAGTTATTGAGGAACAAAAGCAAAAGGAAGCAGCAGCAGCTGCCAAAAAAGGTTAAGTAACTTCTGAGGTTTTCATTCATATGTATTTATAAGGCAGTCAAGATATTCTCTCAAATTCACACATGCAGTGCACTTGCTCAATATTCTATTAAAGTTTATACTAATGGTATGCGAGTTCTCAGTTAGCCAAATTAGCTAATTTACTGGGAAGAGAAGTAACCTTAAAGTTTACACAAATCCAGTACACTGACCTTATTTTCTAAACTGTAGAATTATAGAAAATGTGACCATCACAGAAGTGAAGTGAATGTAAAATTTCTGTTGTCTTAAGATTTAAAACTGAATGTAATTAAAAATTTATCTGTGAATGCTGCAGTCACCTGAAATACCAGAGGTGTATCAAAATTCTGTGTGGCATCAGCCTCAAATGTATTCAGGTGCTTTCTTTAAGATGAAAATGAAAAGCATGAAGAAAAGAGATGGGAATGGATAGTGTGCATTTGGAACATAAAAAAGCAGTGCAAATTCACACTTCTCTTCCAAGTTTAAGATAAAGATTTTGGCTCTAGCTCCCTACCATCAGTTTCTTGGCTGAAATACACTCTCTCATATTACAAATTTAACACTAATCTTCCTAAAACAGCCCAAGTCCTAAAACTGAAAGTATGGTTCTGCGTATGATAACCTAGAAGAAAATCTGATTTTATAGAAACTGAAAACCTATCACTCAAACGTAAGAATGAGTGAGTTACTTTTATTCTATATTGCATGTGGAACAGCAGGTCAACAGCTCCACCAATCTGCTGAGATGACTGAAAAGGTTCAGAGATTAAAATGCATGTGATTCCTACAGAATGATTTATTGTCAGCTAGTTTGAAGAAGTTATCTTACTCCAAGTGTGTGTTTCACAGCTTTAAAACATAAACCAGTACTGAATAATTTATTTGTTAATCAGTGTCTGTGGGAAATAGGTGAGTATTCTTCACATTCCACACAAAAGAGAGACTAATCAAGGCCACCCATCAAGTTACTGTCAATGTGGAGTGGAACTATAAAGTTCCTAGCTCTTAAAATAAATTGTATTAGGCTAAAATTAAAAAAAAAAAAAAACCTGTTGCTGCAAAGAGGTTAAAAAAGGACTGTAAGTTACATGATTTAATCAATGCAGATTTTTGAAAGAGAAGTTTAATAAAATCAAATATTATCATTGTAATAAAATTACAAGAAATATTTTCACCTGCTCATGCTGTGCTATTACTTACACACACTTTCACAGAAATCGTGCCCACCTCATTTTCTCCCAAATTTATTTTTAAAGACGCTTTTTTGCAATTAATCATATAATCTTATTTAAGATTAATTTATTGCTGAGAACTAGCTGGTTTTGAGTATGAACAAAGTACTCTTTCCTTACATTGGAATGTAAGTATCTGAACTTCACAGCAATACCAGTAAAATAAAACAAACCAACCTTCTTATACATTTGCTTTCTTGGCAAAAAGTATAGTTAGTAAAGCCTGATCCTATACCCTTAAGCATAAGGTTCTCAAATAAAAATTAAATTATACATTTAGGAAGACTTGGGTATTTTTACTCCCACTTGAAGTTAGGACCATCTTACATCATGGGTATTCTGGAATGATTTAGTCATTGGCTTAAGGAAAGAAGTATTTTCCCACAAGGAACCTCACCTAGGCAAGTATGAACAGACTGATTTGCAGGACCTAAGGATCTGACCTTTGCATGTCATAACTGGTATCACAAAATGTAAGTGAATTATTTTGCATCTTTTTAAATGTGCACTGGAATGAGGTCATGCACATTTGTGAACAACAGATCTGACACTGTCAAATCAAGGCCATGTAAACATATGGGTTTGTTAAGTCAGTTCATACAAACAATAATTTGATACATGCTGAACCATGGTGATTCCTCTAGATCACACTGACCTGGCTATTCTTAGCCATTCAGCAGACAGAAAACAAAATAAACATATTTGCTGAACCACTACAGTGGAAAGTTCAGAACAGAAACTAAACCAGAATACAGTACTAAACTAAGGAAACAAAATACACAGTAACATAGTGTTGATTATATCCACAAATTACAGAAGGTAGGACACTGATTATGTGACATGTTTCAATGCAGGTGGAAAGGGTCGAAAATGACCTAGTAACATGGTGATCCACAGCTTTCAAATGTAAGTTTTAATTCTAATATTGGTATCTTACCTTAAATGAACCTGGAAACACAATTTATTATATTGAAAGAATCTTAACTACAACCAGTGAACATCTGTGGAATCATTTGAGAGACAGTAACAGAATCAGTAGCTATAGATAACAAACATAAAAAGTCTCTCTCTCTCGGAGTTGGTAACTACAAAGGGATTCATGCAAGGCTGGATAAAGGCTTATACAATTAGGTCAAATTAAAGTTTTTGTATCATCCGTTTCAAGAACAGATTCACAGATTATATTCATCTAAGAGTTTCTTTTGCATGGCTTGCATACCTCAGTTTTGTATGTGTGAGATAGAGTTAAATATATTTAAGTACCTAAACTTTCCAGCAAGAGTGGTTCAGTGTGTGTTTGGTCCTTTGAGAAATGTTGGTATCAGCTGATACACTATATACACATATGTATATATAACATGTGTTACTGTTTCTTTTCCATTTTCCCACCAAGTAGCGAAAGCATGTTCAATTTTCAGAAGGTCAAACACACATAATATGCATACTACAAAAGCAACACCTTTTTAACAAGAAATTAGAGCAGCTAAAATTAACAGAAAATACTCACTTTACTTTCTTTCTCCATTTTTTAGATGGAAATGCAGCTGGAGGTAGTGGCGGAAGTGGAGAGGATGGGAAATCCAAAACATGTGTAATTTTGTAATTCTTTGTCTCAGACACTATTTTCTGCTACAGAAAAGACACCTAGAAAAAACTTCAGTGAGCCCCAGTGGACTTCTGCTTCGCATAGAATAGTATAGATCAATCTCTTAACAGTCCTTTAAACACTTGCCATTTGTTGGAAATAATTTGTAATGGAGAAAGCAAACAGTTAAAATTAAAAACTGGAAAATTAAAAGAAAAATAATGGTGCAAAAGGAGTTAACTGCACTCTATATATTTTTTCATGTCACTCAATATATATACTACATTTTTATTAAAATATGTAACTTCTGCACACTGTCCAGAAAAAATATAAATTTAGACAGATCTTATATGAAATTGCTGAATGAAGTCTCACATGTACAATTCAAACAAAAAACTGGTATTTTAATAACTTGTATATTTAGGTTTTTATACTATGTGTATTTCCTTAATCTGGAATTGTCTTTTTTCTTCATTCTCAATACTATATAAAGTTCTAGAGTAAACATCTTCACTTTAGGAATGCTCAACACAATTCTCTGGCTCATATATACAAAAAGCAGGCTCACGGTACATGGTATTTTTTCAAAACTACCAAGGATAAATTTAAATTGTAGCCATAGTTCAGAGAAACCACTGTTTTGCCCATGTATAAATGACTCTGCACACAGTTCCTAAACTCACCACCGTTTACTGTAAAAATCTAAAAAGAGGCAGATGGTAAACATCATACTTCGCATACAAATAAGAGTTCACTAAGATAACTATACCAGTATATCTACAGCAGGATTTGCATCCAAAGGCATTTTAAAAGGCTCATGTATTCCCAATGCACCCTTTAAAACATGCAGTAACTGAAACTATTTGAAAACCAATGAACTGACACCAATTTAATCTTGGGAGGGAGAAGACAACAGTAATAGAGCACAGCAGAATTCACATTATCTCCCTCTCTACAACCAAGAGGACAGACTGCACATAAATTAGCCCTTCATAAACAACGATCTCCGTACCAAAACCTTTTATTCTTGAAGAATGACAGAGTTCACTCCACACCTTCTACTCGGGACTCATGAAGTCAGCTCCTGCTGCAGCTAAGGGAAGGAAATGTCTAGTACATTATGCACAGATCTGAAGGTTCACTGGAACCAGTTTCAAATCTAAGAAGAGATAGATGTCAAATGCAGTTCCTGCAAACGAGTTTGACATGCAGACTCCATCCTGCCTTTTCTTCCTCCTTTAAAGAAAGCAGACCCATACTTTTTTTTTTTTTCCCCCCCCCGCTGAAGCACCCTCAGCATTCAGAGAAGGTAGAATGATTGAATGATTTTCCATATTATCTACCTTTCTGAGAGTGCTCTACGAACATCAAACTGTGTACTACTATCACCCAAGATTAAAGGAATCCACAAAAAAAATTCCATTTATTACATCCTTATTTACAAATGGACTAAATAGTTTATGCAAACTTAGTTACCACATAAAACTAGGTATCATGTATTATTTTCTGTATTAAATGCAGATACTAAAAAAAGCTACTTCAAGGTTGAAATTTTATTCAAACTGTATTTAACGATGTATTTAATATGTATACTGTACCATAACTGTACTGTGAAGCCCCAAAGAGGAGTTAGTTATCCAGAACACATAATATACAATACTTAAAGCAATAAATACAGCAACACATTGACAAAACCCCTTTGGGCAAGTTGCATACATGTAAGGAGATTGGCACAGATTGGATTTGACTCTCAGCCAAGCTTGCAAGATGCCAGAGAATTAACCTTTAAATCCACCTTCTTACCTAAAGAAGTCTTCATGCAAGGCTACATTTATCTTACACAAGGACACCCTAAATACATTCTTGTACTGTCAGCTATTATATAAGTACAAACTGTTCAAAATATAATTATGTTAAGTAACATTTGTAAGTAGAGTTCTCAATTTATTAATGTAAAATGTTCATAAATACACTGCAACCATCTCTGTTGTTGCATCTTCCACATCAAATCCATATTATAAATACTTTCTATAAATATATCTACAGTAGGATTTATCAAAAATATATTTTATACAACATTAATTTTCCTCAGATTAACATGAACATTTAAATGAAAAAAAAAAATTTTGTCCTTTACATCCAAAGTAATTTTCATCCAACAAAAAATAGCCACTGCAGCTATTCATGTGCAGACTGTTTCTTTGGAAACGTAAATAAAGATGTTTAAAGATGTGTTGCAATTCAAAGAGGAAGATTAATCCAGTGTTTCTCAAGGAATATTCATTCTTTAGTTGTATATTTAGGATTACACTTTAAAGAAGGATTAACATTCAGTCAATTTTTAGCTGGTATAAAGAGATCAGAAACCACAAACAACATATAAGTGACATGAACATCTCCAGTAGAAAGCCACACACTTTATTTTTTACATCAAAAATTTCACTAACTAACCAGATTTTATAAGTGGAATTATAATTAAAATCTAAACCAATGTCACAATGAACAAAACTTTTTTAAAAAGCAGGGGAGACATTTCAGATATGGTTTACTTAATTCAAGCACAATATATATTTGATAAAAACTGAACTTCTGCAATAGCATTTGAAAATACTTACAGAAACTAATACCTGACTATTAAAGTCTACATGACCAATAAACTTAAGGCTCTTAACTCCTGTTTAATAAATTAGAAATATGACTATATTAAAGTGTATAGCTTTAAATTAAGAACAGAATCTTCCAAAATGGCCCTTTACAAAAATCTGCCAATAACTGAAGTTTGGAATAAAATAAAAAGCAGCCAATTTCCATGATGTAATGTCAATAAACTATGTTCTTGTTTGTTTACATCCTTCCTACTTTAAAGTTTGGGTGGCATATATCTTTTGCACTGAACTGAAAAAAATTATTTCTCGTATTTCATGAATATAGTCTACCATAAGAAAAATGAAGTTTTTAGATCTGAAGCCTTCTAAAATATAATCTACCCAAATGGTTCCTATGAGTGACTGTAGGAAAGGTATGATGGCAAGAAGTGGTCTCTGGTCTCTAATTATGACTGGATTTCCAGACTTTCATCTTGACAATTCATGAAGAAAATCAACCTACATCAATTTCAAGTTTCAGAGAAACAAGTCTTGAAAATACTCATCAAACTCTTCCTCCCTGTAAAAAAAAAAAAAAAAAAGGTCAAAGAAAGTTCTGCTTTGGATTTGTACCTAGAAGACAATCTTCATATGAAAAAGATTTTGCAGACTTATGATTAGAATTTTTAGCTGGTATAGATCATTTTGACTTATTCACTACATTGCAATACCCTTCATATTTCCTTATCTGTGCAATAGCAGTGACATAATTTGACATAATTTAAAATGTCAGAACATGTGGCAAAATGCTCAGGAAAAATCTCTGCCTTTGTAGTTCTGAATGGATGCTGTTTTACTGGTTACAAGTTCACTAGATCAAACCAACCGTGATTTTTCATCTACTTCTTCTAGAGGACCTTTCCAAAAGTCAGCATCTGAAGGACCATCTTGTACATTGCTGTTATCTGAATCTGTAAAAAAATTTAAAATGCTTATGAAATAAATTTTAAAAGAATTTATCATTTTTAAAATGTAGATGGTATACTGCTAGGAGCAACATCTAGTTGTAACCATGAGAATAAAAAGAACACTTTACTATGCATAAAGTGAAAATGAAAACATTTTCCAATGTTATTCAATACAGAATCAAAAAGACTCCTAGATATCATGAACAAATATTTTGACCAAACATAACAACAATCATGTCAAAACACTGATCTTGATACAACAGCAGTATAGCACTTTGTTTCTAAAATTAAGGGTTTATAATTGCAACCCCAGAATTACAATACAGTTTCCACTCACGATATTAAATGAATCGATTACTTCTATTTGAATGACACCTTTTATCAAATGTGATTTATCAGTGAAATTGTCAGAAAATATGGATTACTGCATAACTGTTTCATGTAACTATACAGAAGGAGTGAAAACCAAAAACGAGATGCACTGATCTAAAACCCCCCAATTTTCCAGTAGAAGCTTTCCTGAAAAGCAGAGACTTTGTGCGTGGTAAAAGTCATAAGAACAATGCTTCAGGTCTTCCTGTATCTAGCTGGGAAAACCTAGGTGCTGATGACATTCCTAAAAATGTATAGCACAGCAGAGAAATAGTGGAAACACTGAATCCCTTCTAGACAGTCTGCAGCAACAACTGGCATGACCAGGAGACGGGGCTTGTTTCATCAATAAAGAACTGGGACTGAAATTACTGAGATACAGAGACAACCACTGCCTAAGGAGTCACTGGGAGTATCTACCCACAAGTAGGTCTCTGCAGTACTTACAGGTGGTAGCTGGAAAATACTTTAGTTAAAGCCCAGGATTTATTTAAAAATCTATTATTTTTTGAGCAGAGTATATATTACTATCATTCCTTGAAGGGAAATGTAGCAGTTATTTTATCGGAAAAGTACTTTCTTTACACAGCACATATTTGCATACCTAGACCTGTGTAATTATTAACAATGTACCTATTTTTGCACCCTCTACTCTTTTCTGGAACAACATGACCTCTCATTTTTCTGATTATTTCCATTCTGTTATCTGCCCACATTTTTATTCTTTACTTAAACTTAAAAGATTTCCTTCTTTAAATTCCTTACAGTTTTTCTCCAAGAATTTGTAAGTAATTATTCTGACCCTTTATATCTCTGCTTGTTTTCACACAGCATTCTTATCATCTTATGAAATATTAAAACTGCCAGTGAATAAAACTAAGACCAATGACAAATGACCATGAAATAATACAACTTATTACAAAAACATAAAATGCAGAAGATATTAAAATACCTTTATCAGAATTATATGAATCTTCTGAAGAAACCTCATCTGGAAAGAAACACCATTTAAAAACAGTAGGCTTATCTTGGTTTTATCCATTATCTTAAATTGTTTAAAAGGATGTTTCTATCACAACATATTATAAGTAAATATGTGCAAATGCATCCCCCCCTGCCCCCATACGTTCAAAGAAAGCCAGCAAACGGATTTTTTTGCATGAGTTCAAACATCATCAGTTTGAGCTCAGATATATTATCCTGAGATCTGTGGTTTAAAAAAGGTTATCTAACATTTCCACAAGGCTTTCAACCCCGAAGCCTTTTATGGTATGCAGTGTCCAATCCTTGGACAAATTTTTCTTACAATGCCTATTTTTCAAAAGGTGCTCCCTCTCTGTAAAATGTAAGAAATTTATATTTTTTTTTTCCCCTTCAAATTTATCAATTTTGTGCACCCAGAAAATTCTACCTAAGAAATTCTGACTACCTGTGTTACACAGTCAAGAAAATTACATATCTGTATTTATACATAATTATATATCTACACATATGTAGCTATAGCAAAACTAAGATTCAACTAGCATATCTGAATATTTCAAAAACTGAAGGTCTAAAATTTAAAATTTACCTTCATGGGTCTTCTTTTTGGACTTCTTTTTTGCTGAACAAGATAATTTTGCTTTCTTAACTTTTGGCTCTTTATAGTTTGGTGAAGCTGTTCCTCTTTTCTTGTGCGCTTTGACTTCTTTCCTCCTTAAAAAAATGAATGTAGACCTTCTCTATTATATGTACTCCTCAAGCAAGAGTAAACCTTAAATATTTAATTCACTCAGTTGTCTTTTTTTTTAAAGCTATCACTAGTTAAACTGAAAAAAAGTTAAAATGAAAAGTGCTACAGAAACACTAGAGCTCTATAGCTAAAGACAAAGAACAGGAAATGCTAAAGCTGCTTAAATGACACTGATGCAGGTAACAAACCCAGTGAATTGGCAATGAAAGAATAAATAAAGAAAATAATTTTATAACATGCCAAATTCTAATTTATATTGAAATCTTATTTTATATTTTAGCAAACAATTTCGTATATATGTAATGAGAAAAATAGTTAATACAGGTTTTAAAATATATTTTTGTATTTGATAGAGACAAAACCTGAGGTAGAAGAATCTCAAGCCTAAGAACCTGCTGCAGACCAAAAACCTATGTATTTTATCTTTAGCATTACTTATATAAGCTTATTGTATGAACACAGGCTTTCATATGCTTTTCAGGTAATTGTACGGCCTAATCACTGAGCCATGCAACTAAGTTAAAGCCACACAGATTCAGAAAATCATAAAAACTGAGTATCAGTAGTTGTCGACTTCAGTAAGATTATAAACTTTAAAAAACAAATTAAATCTTAATGCACACATTTTATAGGTTCAAAATCCACTATTTTTCTCTCCTAATTAATAAGTGATTTTCAAAGAAGAAAAAATACTCAAATTCAAAATTTCAAAGCATAGATACTCGACTCACACATAAATCCATTATTTTTAAGAAAAGGAAAAGTATTAAAGCTATTACACACAACAAAAGAGAAAATTAAAAAAGGACAGAGTTTTCTATAAAGTTTCAGAGAAGAAAAATAATCACTGGGCTGGAATTAAGGAAAGGAAACTTTTGTGGGGGTGGGGATGGGATTCTTCCAGTTTGAAGGGTTTTGTACTTTCATTAGCACAACAATATTTAATTCTCAGTAGTGTCAAGCCAGTGACTTTCTAAGAACTCCAGAACAGAATCTGTTTCGGAATAAATGAAGCTTTCCCCCTATTTGTTGTTCATCATAACTGTAACCTATCAATAATTCAGCCCCCATATTTTCAAAGTATTTCATTACCGGTGATGAAAATTTAGTTTGGAGGAACATTCTGGACATAGTCCTGAAAAAGAGAAGATGAGAACATTACACTTATGTATTTGATAAGCATAATTAACAAAATTTACTAATACATATATAAAACAAGATAGAACACCATCTTCCAATTGCAGCCAGCATTGAGAAAAATACCATGTTAATCTTCGGTACAAACCCAGATTTTACTAAACATAGAGAAAGACCACAGGTTTAACACTGGCAACTCTTCATAAAAAAAGTATCAGTGCTTACTTATCACGTACAGATATCCCATTTTATGGATCTTTGTGGACGGATCAAATTGTGCTACAATTATACCAAAAGTCTCTTAGAGCTTTTATCAGTGACCAAGTGCTAACACATGGAGTGTCTTATGCACAAAAGAAGAAACACCATCAGCTTGTTTCACACAAAGTAACTGTAAACTGTGGTAAGTTTAATTATCTGATATACATAACAAATCTACACAATACTGAGTAAGAAAATCTCAGTCAAGAGGCAAGAATGGAAAAGGGAGTGATTTAATTAGAGTTAGAATTTTAGAAAAAACTTAAGTATTAAAAATAAAAGCAGTAGAGCTGAACATGTGTAAGAAGTTGTCTGGTTCAAAGCCCTGACTCCTAATCCATGTAACTGATTAAGCAACGACAATGATGAAACCCTCCTTCCGATGCAGTATAGTCTGTTAAAACTAGACATGCTTGTATACAAAACAGCTTATAACCAGTTATTCTATTATGACACCACCAATCATACAGTATGAAGTGGCCAAGCTGGAACAACTCTGTATATAATGATAATAGCCATTCTCTCTACATCAAGACCATCATAGTACCGGTAATTAATTTAACCAAATTATCTCTTATTCGGCATTTTACATTAACTAATAACATTATCATTGGGTCTCACTTGATAGCTTTTAAAGCACAAGATATTTGCCTTCTTTTAAGGGTACATATCTTTAAGGGCTGACTTACTCAATTTCACAAGTGCATTCCTCTTTTCACCATGTTCAACGTAACCAAAATTGACTTCCCAGCTCTTCAGGCCTTCTTTTTCATCACAGTGCTTGTTTCCACAGGAAAACTGACCTTTAAAGAGGTCAAAAAGAGCAAACTCTGGTTTAGTGATTAACATGCATAGGTTTGGGTTATTATTTCCAGTTTTGCTCAGTTTTCGCTTTTGATTTTCTCTTTCGTTCAAAGAAAAAAGCACAAATCTAAAAGTAAACATCTAGATTAAGGAAATAATAACAGATAATGACAAAGTAATCTTTGTCAAACTTGTCTAATATTGCATATTTGCAAAGGAAACATAACTTGAACTGTGTTTTACAACATACAGATGAAAGCATATGTTATGAAATAATGGGCCTAATACGGAACTCTGAAGAAATAAGTGTCACTAGGATACTTTCTATATCCTGAATTTTTATTTACTTAGCAGAGGACGATGGATCAGGAGGTGTGATTCAGACATTCATGTTTAGTAACACCAAACTACTCAAAGTATCGTTCTATGTACAAATTTATGTACAAATTGTTCTATGTACAAAATTAAGATGCCTATGTTCTTAATACCTTACTAGTTTACCTGATATACTGGACATACCATTTGTATTCTAATGACTTTTCATAAACACTTTTAAGAAAAGGAAATCCAGTTCTATGAGAAACCATATATTAGCTTTAAAAGCTTCCTTGGGTTTCTTATGTTAAATACAACACTATTTTAAAATCAATGTTGTTTACACCACTGGATTCTCAATATTGCAGTAATAAAGATACATATATTCCCTTTGCAGAAGACTGATTTGTATGCAGAGCTGGCAGTAAGGATGTGTATTAATAGGCTCACAACCAGGACTGTTGGTGAATGATTAACCTCAGAACATTCTGCTTAAGCTGCTAACTAATAGATCAGCAGTGTCCTCAGATACTTCAGTTCTGTGATGTAAAACCACTTGCAATGCTAACACTTGAACCATAAAAACCCCAGGACTCCCATTAAAAAAATAAAAGTTTTAAATTGATATACATTAAGTATGTTTAACCCTATATAAGATATGGCTATCATGTCATCAGAAGTAATTTATATCCTTTATAAAGAAGTAAAAATCTACAAGGAAAAATTTATACTATATAAAACTTTTCGGAACTTAACCAGACTCTGTTTAATTCACATCTTCTGAAAAAAACCCACGTATTCAAACCTTGATTTGAATACAGAATTCCACTCTTTCTGGAGGCTTTTTCAGCAGTATTTATCACTCAGTAGTATTTATTACTCACTTTCAGCAGTATTTATCACTTAGTATATCTGACTGTCATAAAAGCATTAAAAAAACTATTTTTGCAAAGTAAGAAATTATAATCCCCATCGTATATATGGAGAACCCAAATCAAAGGGAACTACGAACCAGATTATTCAGTACTTGAGACATGACTTTTCTCACAGTTATATGTCTAAGAAAGGAAGACACAAAAAACAGTGTGCCAAGAGGACAGTTACATACTTTAATAAGTGAGAAAATATATGTTGAAAATTCCATTTCCATCTTAAGTTCTGTCACATTGCTATAAGCTGCAGGGAAGTTATTGCCTTGATGTTCAGAATTATAACTCATGTTCAGAAAATAATCTCACTCTTAAATGTATGCTTTCAAAAACTATTAGCACCTTCTGCTTCTTGCAGAAGAGCAGAATAGGTGAAAAATATAAGCACTACAAGCTAAATAAAGCTCTGAAAATTAAATATACTAAGAATATCTAGAGAGCCAAGACTGATTTTAATGAACTCAGATGTACCAGGTTGTGCACTATCCAGGTACTGATACCTTGCCTATTTTCCATGGAAGAAATTAATATGAAAAAAATAAATGGAAAGAGGTTTGGAAGAACATCTGTTTAAATAAGGTAAAACATATTATATGTGTATTTATACATATATAAAATAGGCTAAGAAAGACACTACTATGGTAAAAGTGAAATGTTAGTGCAATGAAATAGTAAAAAAATTCAGAGTAGATCAATTTGCAGGTATTAAACCCTATTTTTCCAAATCATGTCTGGGGTTTGGTTTTGGTTTTTTTTTTTTACTACTTAATCTACAAATAAAGTAAGTAGAAAACAGCACATATGCCCACATGTTCAGCTTTGCTCTTTCTGCATATTGCTGAAAAAGTTCCATTTCATCTCTACCCAATGAACTTGTTACCTATTTTCCTACAGACACCTTTTACCACTATAGCCTTTTGCCTTTTTACTTTGAAGTTTTATGCCATACCTTACTATTCATGCTTTGAAAGTAGAGAAAAAGTAGTTAGGAAGTCATGTCAAATGTATTTTTTAAATAGCTTAAAATCTTTTCATTTCAAGGCTTTATTTTCAGACCAACTCGTGCCTACTTATTCACTGATTGATAAAATTGAAAGTAGGGTTTGTACCTTAAGATTTCAATCAAGAAAAGGCCCATTTTGTGGAACCATTAATTGAAACTAGCAATGTATCACACCATTAACTGCCATTAAGGTTACATTTTACAGCAATCTCCAATAGGACCTTCTTTCAAAACACCTATGGCAAAAGACTGGAGTGAGAAAGAAAAGAAAAAAATAATCTGGCATCTACAATTAGTAATACAAGTGATACGTCTCCATGCACTCATCCTAAACCTTCTTCTCCATAACCTTACAAAGACAGACACTGAAAACAAAACAATCAAATATGAGTAACCCATTCCTATCTTCCCTTTTTAACATGCCCCAAACCAAAGTAGAATCCACCAGCAGTGGTTCTCCTCACCACTATTACTGCACAGCTGAAATAAGCACATGCTCTCCCTTTTTTAATATGAATTATCAGACAGGTAGGTATTAATGCTTTATTACATTTAAATAAAGCAATTTATATTACCTATTTATACTTAAAAACAGCAAAAGAAAGGCATTAAAGACTCATGCCTTTTTAAAGTGCATTTGAAACTGCACTTGAAAAGAACGTCTAATACACAAGGTTGAATTCTTGTGCCCCTTAGTGGTGAAATATACTATTTCTCAATTCCTACGTTCCAATTGTGCACACTCCATTAGGATTTAATTAAAAAGCTTAAAACATGCAATTCTCCAGTTTATTCCATATTTTTAAATATGGAGTACCAGAATATTAGAAGTACAATGGAGCTTTAAATTCTTTTTCCCCATGAAGACATAATTGTTCATAAATTACTCATTTCTCAATTAATTTTAATTATCTTTTTAAAGCATTTGATAAAGCATATATCAAATGTAACTATCTGTTAATATAATCTGTAGTGCAGAATGCAACATATGACTACAACTACCTTTAGGAGCTCTAACCGTTATAGCTTAAAAACCCCCACCGTTAATGTTCACTTCCTCCTGTGAAATACAATAATAATAATTTTAAAAGTCTATTTCTAAATTCTTGTAATGTATTACCATGAACAGAGCTGTTTACAGAACTGTTCTGATCAACAGTATCACTCCATGCAATTTTCTTGCATGTGCATGCATGACTTCTGAAAACCATATGTATGTGTGAAGATCTACCAACAGTAACAGCAACATACTCACATCATTTTCTTGCTTGTTCAGCTACTTGAAAAAGTCCATGCACCCAGGCCATGAAATAGACACCACTGTGCAAAGTCCCAGTAACACATTGGTAAGAACTCACACACAGAAGCAGCCAGAATAAGCTACTGATTTAGAAATAGGACTGGGAGACATGACAACCATTCCCACTGAATGCCACTAAAGCTTTTAAAACCAATTTAGCCCAAAACAGACATCACACATGGAACTTTAATTAAAAAGTTAACATTTTGCAAAACAGCACTGGAGAAACTGTTAAGAATATAAGGAAATGTATTGATTTCAATTAAAGGTATCAAAGACTAATGAGGTAACATAGAATGACTGGAGTAAAAGCAGCTGAAAAACATATCCATTAAATTCTACATTATCAAATGCATTACGCTGGTGTTCATTGCACATCTGACCTTGTGAAAATAAAGCATATGTTCTCTTAATTTTAATATATGCAGATCAGTGTGCACTCTAGATCTACGCGGCACAAACCAGCAAAATTAAAAGTTAGGTTAATTTATTCTCCATTATTATCTGAAAATCTTACCGGTATTGTCAAATATTATCTCACAAAATTATGTCAAAACACAGTATCAAGGAGAAATGTAATATAAAAGGAAAGACAGCATTACCTTTTCCTGAAATTACTTCTTTCTCATGTCGCCATCTAAATCCAAACTGTTAAGAACCAAAATTAAGTTGTGAATAGTCAATGTATTCAGTAATATACAGACTAATTTCAGTTATTTGGTGTCCTGCATGTGGTTCATCCATTCAATTCTGGTTAGTAAAATTTCATTTCTTTCTCTATTAAAAATATGTCTTCCTCTGCACACCAGAAAGATTCCAATTCACACATGCAATTCAAATTGCAGTAGATGCTGTTCAGTACTGACTAGCAACTTTCTACAAGGCTTCATACCAGGCAGAAGAACAAATAGGAAATTAGGACAGACTGACTTTACTAGATACTTCACTGCAATTTGGTTTACTCTACAAACTGAGAAGACCACCGGAATACTGAAAAGTCATATTAGCACATATCAATGGATCGCCTCTTACACCCTAAAGACTAAGACCAAAAAAAAAAAAATCAAATCAAACCAACAACTAAGTTGCATTTCTCTTTGCATTGCCTAGAAACTTCACATGTAGATAACACATCTACTATTTTCGTTTTCTAGTAGAATCTGCTTCATCATATCAAAATGGAAAGTAGGCTAGTTAAAAGATTGAAGAGGGAAGTAGTGAGAACAGTCAATTTTATTTTCACTAACAAGTAGAAAGAGTGGATTAAACTGAGAGGCATACAATTTCTCCAAATAGGGCTATCCTGTATTTTAATTTAAAATTCATCGACACAGGATAACAAGATAAAATGGCTGCTCTGTAAGCAAAGCACGGAAGACTCTGAACATCATGTTAAAACATGGGGAGGCAAGAAGGGAAAGAAGGGTAACAAAATCAAAGAGGTACAAAAATGGCTGCAAAGCCCATCTTTGTCACCCAAGTTCCAAAACACCCTTTGGAATATGAACCTTCTCTTGGCGCACTCATAGACTGAACCCACAGAAACATGCATTTTGTAGATGCAGTGGCATAAATTCCGTAATGCACTGATTTTCAATGTTTTTAATCTAATTTTAAAACACTGTACAGAAGTACTGATATCTATTGCTGTGTATGGTCTTTAATGTTGATTTTTTAAATAAATCGTAACAATTCTTTATCTGAAGAGCAACAGCATGGAGTTCTCATGCATGAAGTGGTATGTGGTTCAAAGATCAGAAAAAACAGGGAAACAAAAGTTTTAGCTTCTAAGAATGTGCAATACTAGCAAACAAACGATTTGCACCTTAATAACAAAGCTGAAAAATATGAACAGAAAGACATCAGTAATCAACTGTTTTGTTGGCACTGATTTTCCCCAAGTCAATATATTACATAGAAGATGTCTAAGAAAACTAAAAATTTGTACACCAAAAAAATATTTAGCTCTGTAAATCAGTCCACTAATTTTCAAACTGGTATTATAACATAAACAATGTTTTCACACCTACTGGTTTTACTGATAAATAAATTACAGAAGATCAGGTTCTGGTGTGTTGAGTTCATACTGTGTATGATGACGGTTTTCTAAGGCTGGATCAGGCTGTGCTTGGCCTACTCTACAAATTGTCAGTGTGGTCTGAAGTACCATTACACCACTCACACTCCAGTCAAGCAAAAATTAAGCAATTGTAAAAACCAAGAAGTGTGCTGAACAGTTCAGTGAAAACAGAATGTAAACTACATCCGTAAATGTAGAATTCATGATAGAAACCAGATGATACAAAGAGTGATGGTAATTGTTTTTGCTTTTTTAAAGGATATTCGCTGTTTTACAGTATATTCTGATAAGCTTGCGATGCAATTGAAAAATACTGCAAGTTTATAATTAAACATCAACAGTATTTTTGGCACCAATTTTGCATGTGTGTGCTGCTGGCAATAAAGAGTGCAAAACAATCTGACCTTATTTGCACGCTTGCTTTTTCATAATCCATCTGCTACTTCATCAATCACCAAGTTATCCATGCTCACTTTTGCTACTGAAGTAAGACTTTTATACAAATTTTCCATCACAGTCCAAACTTGACTCAACAAGATATAAATCAGATTATATCCTTGCAGAGTATTTTAAAAATAATATTGAGAAAAATAAGCAAAATAGAAACAAGGAGGGAGCCAGAACCACCTGTAGTGCATCTAGGACAAAAGCTGTCCTCATCCACATTCATTTTGCCATTCTTCTACCAACTAGTGGAAAATGACCAAGGCTAAGAAGAAACAATAAAATAAAAAGTAAATACAACTGAATTCCCTTAACTAAGCTAAAATATCAGGATCAGATTAAACTATATAGGAAAATTAAAAATTAGAGTAGGTTCTTGAATAGTCAGCCTGCAATATTAAGGAATGCAAAAGCATTGTCAGCAGACAGCATTTACTCTGCCTCATAGTCTTTGTTAAACAAGTTCAACAAGATCCTAAATGAGCTATTTCTACAAGGTAGACCAAGACCAAGTAGAACAACTCCAAAGCAGATATGTTACAAGAGTATCAAATGGCTAACATAGTAAGAAATTATAGCTTTAAAAATGTGAAAGACCATTTAATATCCATAAACAGTAACATTCCCAAATTACATATGGAGTGCTTGTATAAATGCATTGGCTGCAGCAACAACCAACATGTTCACAGTCACCTCTTCCATAAAAAATGTAGACAACATTCAGGAAAAATACCATATTTTTATTTTCACAGGAAAGCCTTTAATGCTGAAAAACAGTGACAAAAATGAACATACTAACACTACCAAGTAGAAGACAAGTTGGCCTAGAAACCTGAAAATTATCTGGAAATGAAAACAAAAGAATAAAAAGGATTCTGTTTAATGACCAGGCGTCAGACAGATTTCATTTCTTAGCAAATAGAAGATATTTTCAATCTGTTAAGCTACAAAATAAAGCAGAGACAGCAAATATGAACCCTTCTAGGAAAGTAAGACAGCAAAGAGAACAGAACATTTCTAGTCCAATGTGTACCAAAGTAAAACTTACATGCAGAGCACTCTCCCCTACTCCACTGTAAAACTGACAATAGAGCTAAACTATCTGACAATACAGACAGTCCTTTATCAGCCTCAAAGCTTGCAGACAAGATGCACTGAAGGTTCAAAGACAACACTGACCTATAAAATTCTTATCTTAGGAAAATCTAAGATGTAACAGACCCATCACAAGCAAGAGCTATCAGAGCACACTCTTCCAGTGTCGCTAAGCAGCCTCACACCAGAGGGTACCTTGGCATTTCTCATTAAATGAGAAGGAAAAAGATTATGCGTCCTAACTACACAAACAAGAGTGGGATTGTGGGTCACAGGGTCCAGTCTGCCTGTGGTGTCAGCAACCAAGGTGAGTGCAGGTGTGCAAGTGAGTGTGTGAGCACCAAGGCAAACTATCCACCAGCGATATGAAGAGGCCTAGAAGTAAGGAGGGTGAGCAGGTCTCCACCAGTCAGCTCTGGTGTGAGAGCACCTGTGTATCTGTAAGGATGAGAGAACAGGGGGATCTGCTGTGGGACCAGGGGAGTCCCAGCCATCTCTGTGTCTGCATATGTGTATATGCACACACATATGCGAGTGAAACAGTCTGAACTAGCGACTGCAGTGCAGCTGTGGCCTCAGGAGTTCATGTATCTTGGGGCTTCTTACTGTTACCTTTTGAGCTTTAGTCTTTGACAAGTGCTCTGCTATTTTCCAGTCCTTAAGAGAGCCCCTCCTATGAAACTAGGCCTTATAATTATCCAGTACTTAGAAAAACTGTCTTTTTTTCCAGAAGTTCTAAATAAGATTTGAGCTACAATCTCTATGCAGAGGTCTTTAGAAGAATTAGCTGGCTCAAAGATTCTGCCTAGCAGCAAAATAATTATAGTTGCAATAAAACAGATGAGTACATATGTGCAAGTCTCAATGTATGCAAAATATATATTAAAAACATCACAGAAAACTATCTCCAACTTTACTTTGGCACCACCTAGCAGGATATAGAATCATAGAAGCGCAAAACAGCTCAGGTTGGAAGGGAGCTCAAAAGATCATTTGGTCCAACCTTTTGTGGGAAAGGGAACCTAGATGCAATTATCTAGCACCCTGTGCAATCACATCTTGTAAACCTCCAATGATGGGGACTCTATCATGTCACTGGGGAGGTTGTTCCAGTGAATTCATGTTCTCACTGTAAAAAATTTCTTTCTGTATCAAAATGAAGCATCAGCAGCAACAACTAAAAAAGCTTAGCCAGCTGAGATGCCTGTTACATACCCTGCAGCTCTGATAGCATCAGCACTGCAAAACAGAAAGCATGAGGAGCTAAAGATATCCAACTTCCAGTTTCTGGAAATGCAGAAAAAAAATCAGGGCAGGAATAATCTGAAAGCACAGACTGCATTCCATTGGTGTGAATGGGATCAGCAGTTTATTTCTGACTTCCAAGAAAAAAAAAAAGCATTGACAACCATCTATACCAAACATGGGCATGGATAAATCAATAACTGAGAAAAATCTAATTTTTTCTATTTTTCTAAGAACTTCTAAGAAAGGACTCTCATGTGGTCAGAACATATTTGAGAACAGAAATCATAACCTGAGATAAGAGAACAAATTATATGATACAGCAGTTATGCTGACACAGCAATTCCAAAAATACAGGTAATGACTTAGGAACATAAATAGGAATTTTGAGCGACCTCAGAGTTGGGACAGCCACATTTGAAGTCTGACAGCAAAAACACTGTTCACACAACACGCACACAAAAAGTAAAAAAATAAAGGGAACTGGGGCTGAACAGTTTCCCACAAAAGATAGCAAACATATGGAAACTTGGCACAGTAGTGAAAGAAACAAAATCTCTAAGCATGCTCAAGGGAAAATCAGTAGGGGGGCAGGGCAGAGATTGGGGGATATGATACAGCTATAGGAAAATAAAATCAAATTTACTCAAAAAAAAGGAGGGAAGACATCTTCAGCATTGCTTTTTGTTAATTTAAATTTAATTTTTGTATTTTTCTGTTACAGTTTTCTTTAGAAGGCTATCATCTTTTCTGTTTCATACGAAGAATTTAAGCCCAGTCCTTGCAAATACCAGTGAATGTAATTTTCAATATTACGGTCTCAAAGAACATTATATAGACACCGTTTGCAGGGCTGGGTTGTTACTATGTGCTAACAACACTAAGGTGCATTTGAGTTCAGCACCACTCTTTGCAAAATCACAATAGAAAATTCACGTATTCTTTTTGGCTAAGAGGTCGGTCAGTCAAAAACTTACAACAAATGCTGTTACAGTTAAGAAGAAAAACTGGTGCTGGAATTGGGCTGTTTCTCTTAAGATATTCTATTTATTTAGAAGGAACATATAAATCCTGTTTCCATAAACAGAAAAAAAAAACACCAGCAAAAGATGCTGACTTAGAACAGACATTTCCAAATTGTTTCTGCCAGCATTCAAGTACAAAAGTCTCTCTTTTTAGACCCTTTTTTTAAAAAAAAAAAAACAACTAACATTCCCTGGGATTTTTCAGGCTTCATCTACTGCTTCTCTCGAGGCAAACTTCTCTAGCCTTCTCTACTTAACCTCTCCGCATTTTCTGCCTTTCTTGCATACAATGTACCTCTTCATAAAACACCATCTGACAGAAATGCTCCTATTCCCACAGAAGCACATTTTTGGGGCAGTGACAATGCTTGGATTCAAACTGCTGCTGCTTATTAAATAACTTGACAAGTTCTCACAACTCTTTCTAGGGAAGGGGTAGTAACATTCTGGTTTCACAACATATCCACAGTCATAAGGCAATTTTTAAAAAGGGACATAGATTAAAACCAAGATGATTTACAATAATGAAATGTACCTTATTCTCTTTGTATCTGCTGAGATCAGCTATACAGTATTCTTTGAACAATTTATCGTAATATTTCTTTGCAAGCCTCTTCTCCCTATAAAAAAAGGTATTTTTAAAATTAAATACAGAACATGATACAATTAATTTTACATTGTAATGACATTAACAAGGCAAAGACATGCTGTTTCATCCAAAGAACACAATTTGCAGAGCTAGAAATGCAACAGAAATACACTCATTGAGCTAAGGGGTAACTTCGATGAAACTGGACAAATACATCTAAAATATATCTACAGCACAAATTAAACTATGTTTTTTCAAATTAGGCTTCCTTGAGAGTTTTCAGAACAGTCATTTGGATCTCAGAGAATGCACAAATAGTTCTTTCTATCAGCAATTCATTCTGCCACTGAGCAATATTACAATATGAAACACCTCCTAAAATCCTTTTAGTTTTAAATGCATTCAAGATCAAAGAATGATCACTAAGTATGCACCGTAATTTTTAGAAGGGGACACCACAAATTTAGTACAAGTGATCTAAAAATAGCATGTTCTATAATGGTTCCAGGTACCAATTCATGTCCACTTCATCTTCTTCATTCCATAGGAATCTATGATTTTCTCTGATAACATCAAGATCCGTCTTGTCATTTGCTCTACAAAAGGACACATTTTTTTTTTTTTTAGTTCAATATAACATTAAAATGAAAATTCAGCCAAATAATAATTCGGTAAACATCAGTATCTCACAGTTGTGATCTCCACCTCACTGCATAAAGGAATATATTGCTATGCAACAAGACTATAAAAAATTTACTCTGTGGCATACCTTTTCCCAAATGAAAAATACACAGTGGAAAATGGTCACTGAAACTGTGGATGGCTTGACCCTTTCTGAAAATACTTTTTATACTTTTTACTGAAGACAGTAATGTTAGAAGGCATAGATAGTTCTGAAGGTGATCATTATTCTGGACAGTGGATAGCAATTCTGCACATTTCAAAAGTATTTCAGATTGTTATTTTGAAGGTACTGCCAGGTATCTCTCAATGTACCCTCAATTAATGCTCAACTGTCATCTTTCCTTTTACATAACAATCCAAGAATAATTCAGCTCACGGTAAGTTCTTATGTAAAACTAAGGTGCAAAAAGAAACAAGGCAATTCTGTGTTTTGGATATTTAAAATGACTGTAATTTGTGACCAAAATATTTAGTAATTTTATACATAGCCACATCCTCACCTCCCCCCCAAGCTATAATACATAATCGATGGCTTTACATAACAGGGGAGCTTTAGGGCCATGAAGAGAAAGATCGCTAATGGGACTCACCCAGAACGTCGGAAATCCTCAATTTTGCCACCATAGTATAAAATGTAGTCATTCACAAACTTTTTATGTCTTTGATACTAAATAAACCAATTAAGGATTGTTTCAGAACTTATCTTCTTTTACTTTACCACAGTTTAAAACTAAAAAAATAAAACCTTTTTATGTACTTAACAGAAAGATTTTTTTTTTCTCAAAATCAGTGCTGTAATTTCCAGACAGACAGATATTAATTATCAGTTTTTACTTAATAACCTCTCATAAAAGCTACTTTCCAAATACAGGAATTCAAGGCATTTCCATCTTCAAAACCTCATTCAGCTGCCAGACCTTTATAAAATTGTCCTCCTTTATGAAAGATGCTCTGTATGCATATACACAGAAACTGGGTTCATTTTTTTTCAGCTGTAGTTTAGGCAACAGCTTCTTAGTACTGCAGTTTTGGTTTAAAAAAGGTTTGTATTATTGTGTTGTAAAAATAAGTCTGGCTACTAAAATGGAACAATTTATTACATTTTACCATCAACATACAAATAAAAGTTACCTGCTTTACTTTGGAGATGAAAATCATAGAAAAATATAGAATACTTTTTTTAGAACACTTTGGCCTCAGAGACATGATTTGAAACACATATTGTACCATAATTTGAGAAAAAATATGTAGTTACTTATTCAGAAAATAAGCATTTTCACCAAAAAAAAGCATTATATATGGCTAATTTTAAATATTTTCAATTAACCTGTATAGTGTTTCTGAAGCTGCAAGTGAGGACATACACAATGGATTTTGTAGCTATTCTAGAATATATGGACTTTTCTGTGGCTTATGACAATCTACAATGTCAGTGGCACTATTTAAGATACATTCCCTTTACAGGCATACAATGGTTTGTATAGCGTCTCGCCAAATTCTAAGCAGGTCAGAAGTTACTTTCTGTTTAACGGAGTTTCCAGATTTAAGTAAGTCTTTGCATATTTAATTAGTCTTTACTTTCCTATTTATTAATTGTTAATGCTGAAGAACAGCTATTTAAACAGACAAGGAACTGATGGTATTTCAGATACACTCCATCAAAGCATGTAATGATTACCGCAGGTGAAAACTAAATAAAAGGAGAAATCTAAAAGGATAAGGATAAAAGTAGTGATCTAAATAAGGTATAAGACTTTTGAATTATCTAATACATTCTTAAATTTCCAGTAGAAATGTATTTGTCCAAAGATAATAGCAACCTTACATAGTTATGTTCTGTATAAACTCAACTGAAAGAGGAAAGTGTCTTTGTGCCAGTTTAAATAAAATTCACTGCATAATAATTTTGTCCCAAACAGAACAAACAAGCACATAGGAAGAATTTGGAAATGCCTCAGCTGAGTAGAGGCATTCTCAGAGACATCTCAGCAACAAAAAGAAGCTAATTTGGAGAACAACTTAGTATCTGGTGCTGCACTGTCAACTGCTGTGATAACTGAGAAATCCCAGTATTGCACTATAATGCATAGCCTGCACCCCATCTTCAAACATGTAGAAAAACTAAATAGAAGGATACAGCATCCATTGCTATCAAGTGAAATCTTCTTTTTCTTGCTTCTTCCCTGTTAATAACAAATATGTTTGAGTGAAAGCTATCTTTACATTAAGTGAAAAATGTCTCACAAAAGCAATAGATAAAAGATACCTATCCCATTCTTCAGCTGCGAATTGTCTGTGAACCACATTGCCTTGTTTTGCTTTTTGGAATGGCTTTGTCAGAAGGCCATCTTCCTTTATACTAAAGGTAGGGGGGGAGAAAGAAAGAAAAGTTAGTCAAGAATTTTTCGTACAGAAAAAAATTTCCCTATGCCAAACTTTGCACTAACTTGAGTAACAAAAACTGTTTATATTGCTAGTTTCAACATGAGTAAAACCAAACTTCAGAACCAACATCAGCTTAGACTTTGATTCGTTGGCAGAACAAGATAGTAAAGGCATTTGCTCACAGTTAGTATTTAAAGAAAACTGCTTAAAACAGCAATTTGTAGTATTTATTTTGATCAATATTATCACTACAGAACCACAGTGAAGAAACCCTGAAGATTCCTCAGTTTCACTCTATGTTTAAAGTCCCCTATAAATCAGAGTTACACAGCCAAGTAGGAATAGAAAGGACAGTATGTTCACTGAGTGACTGCTAGTAACCCTATCCCATTCTTTCATGGTAATGTCTCAACACCTCATTACATAGCTCTGCCTCTCCTAGTGTAATCACAAGAATCACTAATTTAAAACTTAAACTGCGTTGTGAACCATACTTGTCATACTTTCAGAATTCAACAAAGTAATAAAACGCTAAACATAAAGTGATGCCCTTTAGCTAGCAAAAGGTGTATTTAGTTAGTTTCATTCCTCAAAAAGAGGTGAAGAAAATATTTTTTTCCATAATTATCAGCTGGCAGAAAGAATGGAAATCGGAAACCTGTAGAAAGCAAGCCAGGGAATTTATATTTCAAGCTATGGATTGCTCAAAAGGATCTGTAGGCACAAAATTCCCATAACGAGACTCCATAAAACAGCAATACGGAGAAAACTTAAGACTAATATTTTCCTTAAAGTGAAAATAAATATTATCATAGAGCAAGAAAAGGATATATACCTATACAGTGAACCCACATAAGAGCCCTACTAGGAATCAGCAATAGTATGCCAGAACAAGAGTAATGATGTTATTTTTAAAAGGCTCATGATGATTAGTTAACATTCCACCTAGGAAGTGGAATAGTATAATGTGTAATGGCCTTTTAAAAAAAATGAAAACTGAACAAAACTAGTCACTGTTTTAATGGAGAACAGCTATATTTATAAAATAAATGGAACAGCACAATGCCTGCTATTATTCCAATGATTAAAACCCAAATTTTTTTTCCCAGAACGCAGTCAGACCCTACAAAACCCATTCTTTCAATTTTATTACAAAGGAAAACATGCAAGAGTCCTACGAAAGTCTCCAGACAGCCTTCTTAAATAAAGTCCAGTAACAGAGCAAAGGAGAAACAAGAAAAGTTAAGAAAAAGATATGCATAATATAGGCAAAATATTCAGTACAGTCCAGAAAGTGTTGAAGGACTATGTGGCCAAAGCAAAATCAATACATAAATAAAAATCTTAATAATAGAATGAGATCAGACTACAAAATTCAAGGTCACAAATTGTGTAAACCACTGAAAGAACTTGCAAAGGCGATCTCAAATAAGAGATGTGTAGTTACATTTCAAGGATTGACTACAACACAATTCACCAATTCCCAAGTCTCTTCACAAATTAAATAATAAGTAGCATCCATTCTTCACTTCCTCCAAGCAGGTGTTTCAGATCTACAAAGCCTGCTGCCACTTGGCCTTTTTTGCCTTGCTCTCTTAGCAGTTCCATGTGTCCTGATGAATCACAGTGAAGTGAACAGCGTAGCCAAACCCCAGCAGTTGACACTAATGCTCAGAAAAATTAAACACTCTGCTCTGAGAACTGAGGGACATACAGACACCAGATGGACATGGCAGAATGGATCTTAATCAGCTGCCCCTGTGAAACAACATGCTTTGGCAAGCTTAACTTGAGAAGATGCAGGATCAGAAAGATTGATTTTTCAAGAACTATTTCAATACCAGACTTCACATACCACAGCATAATCGTCTATAGATAGCAATAGGCCATTTGCCCAAAATACATAATGCAAGGTGTTAATTCTGTACTACATTACCTTTTAGCCTTTTGCACAGACTTCTCTCCATTCTCCTCATCACTAAAATCAGAATCATAGCCTCCACAGCCATGTGCCTGAAAATAATACACAACACAGTCAATACACCTGCTAATGTAAAATGGACATGGCATAACTAGAAATTAGTACTATCCATCATGCATAAATAAAAGAGCGAAAGACAGAGAGCAAGCGAGCAAGTGCAAATTCTCACATATGTCTAAACCAAATCAAATTCAACAGACAATGCAGAGTATATTCCAAATAACACAGGGCAAAGAAAGACATCGTCAGTCTGTCAAAAGATCACTTTATAAATAATTTATATGCAGATGTCCCCATATTTAATCTTCACATAGATGCAGATAACCAAAAGTATGATAAACATGTTTGGTCTTTACTTTCAATCTCTCTTATGTAAGAAAAAGGTGAATATTTTCCGCAGCAGCTCCTTTGAGAGGGCTGGAGGACAGCAACTGCTTGTGCCTATTTCATAAACAAAGATGAGAACAAAAGTTTCTTGGGCTGTGGTACAACATTACATTGGTAGCTGGAAAGCGGATTGAAATGATAACTAAAATACAAAATAACAATATGCCTACAAGAATGTACTGGCTAATCAGCACAACATTCCTACCATGAAATGACATCTTTTTTTTCCCCACAGACTTTGGGACTACAACATTGTCAAATTAATACATATAAGAAAATCTAAATATCCTATATCTTAATGCCATCAAACAATCAAGCACTGACTGATGTCCAGATGTATCAGCTCCATTTTCAAAGGCTCAGTTACAAGTCCAACTCTTTCAACAGAAGTAGTGGCTTACGTAGATCCCACCTCCTCTCCCTCACTCCTACCCTGGTACCTTCCTTTCCGTTGCTCAGTTATGGTTGTGAAACTACACATGAACCTGCTCAAACAACTCACCCAAGTTACGAAGGATCCTATCCAAAAAAGATTATTTTAGCCCAGGTAAGTATCCTGACAGTTCATCCAGAGCCCCCCAACCAGCTACACCAGCCAGCTGGAGAGGTAGCACAGAAAGAGAACAGCCAGAGCTGGGAGCTGTGCAAACCAGCACTGACACCAAAAAAGCTATTACACAGCTGGAACATTTACACAACTGAGCTAAAAACAAGATGGGTGGTTATTACACATCTGCATGAGGAAAGGTTTGACACATACTTCCTAAGTATCTTGGTAATTCAGACTGTGGATGAGAAAAGAAACTGGGTTAGAAAACCAGTATATTTGATTCAGCATTGCTGATTCCTCCATCACCTACAATCATACTCCTCCTCAGATAAAAATATGTCCAAAAAAAAATCTGCAAAAAAGACACATCTCTTCAGGATGTTTTTGATGAGGTGCCTTCTCTTGATGCAAATGCCTCCCAGAAATGCTGTGCTGGAGAGTCAGCTGTATCCTCTACTGACATCAACAACTGGTGTGTGTGTCGTGCAGAGTATGTAAAACACAATCTTGTCACACTGCTGGTGAAGGACTGATTTTTAAGATTTTTTTTTAAAAATATTTTTATTAATAATAATAAATTGCACCTTTTTTCCTTGCTTTAATACTGTAATGTTCCTTCCACTCTAACTCTTCTGAAGATGACATAGCTCTCATCTATGTATATATTTGAAGAAAAGCAAATCAGAACTTTCTGATTTGCCTTTATGTTTTCTATTTCCCAGGAGACACAAAAAGTATCAGTTACCAAAAAAATACACAGCAGATATCTGCAGTGTCTGGTGTAAGTGGGCCTCATGCCCTGGCAAAAGAGCAGCAATAGTGTAAAGCCCTCCCAGCACAGTCCTGTAATAATACATGGCTCAGATGCAGGTCTCCTCGCTGAGGTGGTTCTAACAGTAAGCCTGTCACTAGTTTAATTAATTAAGTTTATGTGGTCTTTAAAAAAGGCTGAATACATTATGAGTGTGCAGCAAATATATTTATACTTGGCATCTAAATTTTAAAGATACCATGGTAATCCAGTAGTATATTAAATGGCAAAACTAATGCTTCTGAAATGAACACTTCCTTCACACTCAAAAGGGGAGAAAGTCCAAGCCAATACAATGTGCATGAAAGTCAACACGAGACAGATGACATGTAAAACAGGCAAGAAGAGAAAAGCACAAATAAAGATTTTCCACAAGGGGTTGCCCTTGGATGATGGGCCCCAGGAATGAAGTAGACATACTTGGTAATCAACTCCCAACTGATTCAGGGAATGACTCACAAAAAAAAAAAAAAAAAAGCAAGAAAAGCTGCTCAGCTGTTTCAACAGAGACATACTGCAGGGCTCTCAGAAGTTTGTAACTGCCTTCTGGAAAGCTGTGACTGTGGGACTTGCCCTGATATGGGCAAGCATGGCTAAGGACTAGGTCTTGAGTGAATGCTTTAATGACAGAAAAGCTCTTCACAGCTTCGGCCATTCCTCTGAATCACTACAATCACTCAAATTCAGAGTAAAAAAGAGTATAACCCACATCCTAACACTTCTAGGTCAGCCCTTCAAAGACAACAGCAGGATGGGCAGGTACTGTACCGAAGCTGAGTTTGACATCAGGAGCTCCAGCAGTGCTGGATGGCACTCCTGGAGACCAGGACTGAACAACTACTGACCTGATGTCTTAGGGAATCAACAAGATGACCTGACTTTTAGGGAGAACATAAAAATTAACTCCACCGAAGAATCTCATCCATAAATGAATCTTTCAATTTTAGAAGGAAAGTGTAAACTGAGACTGGATTAATGTGAAACTTCAAGACTGATTTCTCCCCTTCTCCACAAAAAAAAGCCAAATAACAATCCCAGATAAGGAAATTGTATTTAATATTAACTGTAGTAAAAGAGGGGCAGATATCAAAACTTTGTGTCCAAGCTAGTAGATTTAAGACACATATATTGACACAGACATGCAAAATTGTCAAGAAAAATTAAAATAACTACTTTCACTATTTGATAAACTGTTTAATATAATGTTCGCTTTGATAGAACTCAGAATGCTCTTAGTAAATTAGTAGGGTAAATACCAAGCATTCTATCAAAATATGAACTTGAAAGCTATGTAACTTAAATGGTACAGTGTGTTTTGTCTGTTGCATCAGTTCTGGAAATTTTTTCTCCAAACAAAACTAACTGAAATCATAGAACCGAACAAGCACCAATATGGTTTGGGATACATTTAAGTCACTGACATTTCAGTAATCCCAACGTTTTAGATTAATAGCAAAGCAGATTCTGGAGACAGAACCAAGCCCACTAATTTAGGGCTCCTAAAAAACAGCAACTCAAAACCAGTAAATGTACAAACACTGTACCCAACAGATGGCAGACAGAGGAGATGTCAATACAGGACACTGCAGGCTCCCCTGCACAGCATTTACAAGTGTTTACATCCAGCAAAGGCACCTCCTTTAACCCTGTCCAATGGGGTAAACACACATTAGTGAAATGGACACAAGCACCTTGTTGACTCCAGATCACAACACACAGCTGAAGAGAAAAAGACAGTCTGAAAAAAGAAAAATAAAGGGCAAAATAATCCTACACAATATTCCATTTCATGGCTCATAACCTGAGCCCTAATCTTGCTACTCCCCTCACAAGTGTCACTCCCATCCTTCCCTTTATCTGTCCAGCACACAGATCTGTGCTCGTGCCTGCTTACAG